AAGTTAGCCTTTGTGCCATTGAGATGCCTCGTGTATACAGCCACTACACAACACAAGCCAGAGCCATAAGACACTGATGATACCCTTGGGCATTGCTTCGGGTCCTCCCAAGGTTATCCACCCTCGAGGCTCCAGGGCAAGGAAAGCATACTTAGCAACAAATTGGGAACCTCTAGATAGGTACCCAACTCTCTTTGCATTAATGTCGGGGGACTCCAATATAGCTATTCCCTCCTGGACCTGAACCTCATAGAGGCTCGCTTCACTGCTAGGTGTCATCGGTCCCGGGACAGGCTGTTGTTTGGAAGTGCCACTTGGCTGTCCCTCTTGCTCTGCGTGAGCCCACGGCGTTGCGATGGAAGGGTATTTCAAGGAGCGCTTGATGTCATCAAGGTTCATTGACTTAGCGTAGTCAAGCTCCTGCTGGAGGATGACCTGATTACGAGGGACTTTGGATTCGGATAATCTTGATGACCAAGAGCGTGGATTCACCAGTCTAGCCTGCAGCTTCCGAACATACGGGTGATACGCGATCTTCGAGGTAGCATCCAGGTGCCCTTGCTTCCAGTCTCCGAATAGGAAGTTAAAGAGTCGTGTCATCTCAGCTTGGTGTTCAGCCGTGTTCAAAAGTTCTGGGGAGAAAAACCTGATAGTAGCGATAGGAGCTAATCCGTGCGATCATAGAGACTATGCATCACAACCGAGGACTGATCCATCTACGAGTACACGAGGCATACCAAGCTCTGATATCTTCTGTCTGTGTCCGCTGACACCTATAGGGTATCGCTACCGTGCATGTTGCTTTGGTCTGTGCTGTGTCGGATCTGATATCTACCACGACTCCCTTTTCCCTTCGTGGTAATGGGTCCGTCTCTGTGTCTAATAATACAGAGTTTCTGCCTTCCAATGTACAATTAACATGACTACGTTGGTCTTTGATTGACTGGTCAACTGTTTGAGTGTGTCTATCGCATGCAGCTTCCTCAGTCATAACATGTACATCAGTACGTACTGCTGTGTCTGTTTGAGTGGAGGCATCGACCTTCATGCCTGTGAATGCAATGGGGCGATCTACTGTGATGCTCGATGTCTTGCCCCGGAATAGACGAGACATGATATTGGAAGGCTACCATAGTGGTGATGCATTGACAACTCGACTCGATCGACACGCCAAGCATGCCGCCATGAAGAAAACAGTAGTGAACAACCTGGGGTATAGCCATGAACAAGGCCCTTCATCTCGGGTCAAGGAAAAGTGGAGCTGGGGCGATCCATGTATCCTACATACCCTCGCGACAGGGGCTCGGTGGTTCGGTCTTCCACAAGCCAGCACCATACAAGATCCATAACTGATGAAGAGAAGGAATGAGGACATGGGAGTGGCCAACCCACGTTGGCGATGTCTCGTAGCGTTTGCAAGCTGGCTGTGATAACATGGAAGGTAGTTGTGGATATTGTACCTCTACCATGCGGAGGCTCATGAAGCGCGCTAAGAGCACTATTTCACTGTCCAATGCCCACCTGCGAAAAGAACGAATATGAGACTGACACAAGCATAGAAATACCGATTGAGATGAAGGCTTCTAAATATATCCCGAGCGGCATCTCTCGTGAAGAGTTCGAAGCCGCATTGGGCACCTCGAGTGGGCTGGCAGGGACATACCATAATGGGGACTTTCCAACCATCAGCCATACAATGAAGTGAAAACCAATCATAGCACATTTCGAATTGGGCTCCGCTTCGCTACAGCGTCAGTGGCTCTGAGGTGATCCCTCGCACCAAAGATATGGAAAGTGAGGAGTCACTACCGAGCATGAAAAAGAACTGCATCAACTAAACTAAAGAACTGGCAAGCGTGTGGCCTCTAACACCGACCGCTGCAATGCCTGAGTCTCTATCCATAACCTCCTCAAGCCGAGCAAGATCGTCGATCCTAGTAGCACCGTCTGCATCTACCATTAGGATACGACGCCCACGGGAACATCTAACTCCATAGCTGTAAGAGCACCACTATACACTCTCTCGCTCCCCTCAGACCTACTGCCGCACCCTTCCCCATGTTCCTAGCGACCCCTACCACCCGGGTGGTTATGTCAAGTCCACTGATGCCTCCTAGTAAATTTCCTTGATGGCGTTCTGGGGACTATCGCCAGACCAGGATATTCGAGCAAAATAACTCCTCCGTACGATTGAGGGAGGAGTGGTGCGGTCTATTACGGTGATTGGACCCCTTCAAGCGTTGTGGCCTCCATCCTCGATTCGATATATGGATTAATTATGAGCACTAACGCAGCAACTACAGCTGCTACCAGAAGTACTTCTGGGACCAAAAAGGCATCTAGTGGTAGCATAGAAAACAATGACGAGACAACAATTCCATGGGAAAAGCTGCATGTACGAGGGCTCACGAACTTGGTATGTGTTACCTCATCGGACTTCTTCTGTAGCGTCTGTTCGAGTTACTTGACTGTCTCGTTAGTCTTGTCTCTGAAACCCTGCCCCATCCCTCTCCCTATGCAGCTAGAGGCGTATTACAAGTCTGAAGTGATGAACTCCAGGCGCTTCTCTACATTGGACACAGCCTCGTCCCTTTCCTGCCGTACCTGGTGAGAATAATAAGTCGACAAGGCACTCAGTCCCGTTGTCTACCATTATTGGTCCGACGAGAATCCAGATTACACCATTCTCGTCGAGGACGTCGAACTCTTAGGAAGGAATAAACATCTCTAAGGTTAGCGCTGGCCCTCGCAACCACCTTTTTCACTTGTTCACTCTCACTCTTCTGTGCCGTGAGTGTGCGCACCTTGCCATATAGCTTCTGTAGCCCTAACCCAACTCAATGCCCAGCGAACGCTGACGCTCCTACTATTACGATCCTGTACGTCCTGTATCTCAGTGACTGTATCCCGATATTGGTTCTGTAACGGAGTTGAATGAGTTGCCGATATGATAGACAGCAAGTAGAGCGGTCATATTGGTGGATACTCCCAGAGTGATACACCTTCCCCGATGCTATCCCACCTGCTGCGGGTCATCCATTTAGTAACGACGCTACTAGAACTCAACACGGAGCTCTAACTCGGTAAGAGGGTAAGAAAAACTCAGGAGACTCAAGTTGAGACAATTGTAAACTCAGATATGTGGAAGCGTGATGATAACATTAATCAGTATGCGTCACAGTCCCACCTATGCATGACTGCAAGCCTTGCAGTGCAAGGTGAAACCAATCGGCATTTGAGTAACGGTTTAATGCTTCATTCGAAAGCATCCTCGTTTTTCTTGACTATGTAAAGACACGACTTGGAAACACTACGCGTGACAGCACGAGACGAGAGACGTTAGAGCTAGAAGGACTCCGGCCTGGCGAAGATTGATCAGTAAGTCTAAAATCACCACTCTTGCCACAGTACTTGAGTGAGCCAACGATGTAACATGAGAGAAATTTCCCGAATATAGACTGTTTTGACGCGCGCTAAAACAGTAATCGAGCCCTGCTGGACATCCCAGCTCCTTTAGAGTCGAGTAGCTAACTAGTATTAGTCATGTTCCTCAGTCTTCCAGCATAGCGCGTTCTCCTCGTAGGCTCTGATCTCACAACTGGCGACACCTCTTCTTAGTTTCTCGTGGTAGCTCTCCACAATGTCAGCGGCATCCGAAGAGCAGATCCGTCCTGGATGCTCGATACACGATGTACAGTTCATGTAGTATACGGGGCATGGGGGGCTTTGGGGGAGTAGAAGGTGTGCTCTGCTGGGGGGGGGATAGATACGAACTCGTCAATATGCTTTTTGAGGCTGTACAGAGGTCGTCGCGGCAGGTACATGTCCCCGAAGGAGATTCAGGACATATCTGTTAAGGAAATCACAGAGGTTGCTGCGTTCGGCAATCTGGCGGGTGCTCCCTTGCCTGATGGATTGTAGTCCAATAGAGAGGAGTTTAAATGTCAATGATGCATCTGTTCAGATACGATCCCGCACTGGGACCCCTTCACATCGGTGATCTATGCAAAACGTGCGGATTAGGGGTAATGAGCTCTCGAGGGTTCGGGGGCCCGAGTGGGGCTCTATTGTCAGGTTCATGACTGTCCTGGTCACTTGGGTCACATAAAACTCGCGACTGATGTGTACAATCCTTTCTTGATACGGACATTGTAATTCGACTCGGTCCTACACCGGGATATTGGCTGCTCAGGTATAACGTGCTGCGTAGAATGTGCACTTCTTGCAATCACTTCCGTGTTCGAAAGGCTGTAACTCAGAGGTGAGACCATCATGCTCCCATTCAGTAGCTTAGACGAAATGCACAGATATTGTGATCGGTTCAAGCTCATCCTTGCCGGTCTCGAACCCGAGTCTCACGATGTAGTCATGGAGCCTTGCGATGAGAAGACAAAGTGAGATATACTAGACTCATACTTGCTTACGGGAGTTCTCAGGTCGGCGTTGGAGAGGGATATGACCTCAGACCCCAATGCGGACAGTCGAGAGGCCTTCGTTGAGCATGCTAGTAGTATAACATTCGGGGGTCCGCCAGTCTAGGGCTTTGCTGTAGGTTATCAGGATGGCTCATCATCTTACGTACCGTACATTATGGGCCATGGTGAGGAACAGAACAGGGTCAAAGCCCTGGTCAAGCAGCTGGGCCTCGCCCACAATGAGGTTAATGATAACCTCGAGAAGCTCGTGGGCAAGAATACTAGTTGGGGAATAAGTGATCACTACTACTCTCTAAAGAGTGCATGGTATAGCTGTTGGGCTGTTCAGGTAGCTCAGGCGAGATACAGGCCTGGAACGATCTGGTGGCGGAGTTCGAGAACGAGGTATCGGTTGCGGTATGCCCCAACTGCAAGGCTAAGTCGGAGCTCTTCCGTAAGCTATTGACGACAAGAGTGACGGTCGGTGGATTGTGAACTTCTAGGTGTTGATGGATACAACAAGATCTTCCGGAAACTTCGAGGGAAGGCCGCAGAGAAGTTTGTCACTCCCACCTACGTACAGCTATATTGAGTAATACTATGTGGCCCATCTCGAACGCAGGTGCGCAACCTCCTTCACAAGCTCTGGTGTGAGGAGAGGGAGATTTTGGAGTTCCTATTCCCAGCCTCTGTGGGTCGTGGTGAAGACATTTTCTTCATGCAGAATATAGTGGTCCCTCCAAACAAGCTGAGACCTCTACGTTTTGGTGGTGATAGTGATGATAACCAAGGATTCTTACCTGCTTCAACGGTTTGTCTGAAGAATATACTTGAATCCAATCTACTACTCAAGCAGCTACTCGAGACTGACCAGGAGGCTGTAGAGAACCCTAATGACAGGGAAAAGGGTGAGTTATGAAGTTGCTCGTGTCAGTGGAGTCCACTGTGATATCTTCAGCTGGCGATGCCCTGCCGAACCTCATATCGGATGAGGATGAGACTATGAAGCCTGTCGACAACACTCCTCAGAGAGGGCCTATGACTACTCTTGGAACTGCACTCATTGACTTGCAGAATAACGTAAATAACTATCTAGATTCTGCTAAGAGCGGCAAGGCCCAGAACAAGGTCGTGGCATTTGGTGTACGACAGCTTCTTGAGAGGAAGCAGGGTCTATTCAGAATGAAGATGATGGGCAAGCGTGTTAACTACGCTGCTCGTAGTGTTATCAGTCCGGATGTCTCTCTGGAGACTAACCAGATTGGCCTCCCCATGTTCGCGGCTCTACAGCTGACTGTGCCCGAGCCGGTTAACTCCTTCAACGTAGACTACCTGCGGGCGTTGGTGGAGAATGGTCCCGATAAGTACCCAGGCGCCGCTGCTGTAGTGTTCCCGGATGGCAAGCTGGTGTCACTGAAGGGTCGACAACCTCATCAGAGGAAGGCCATTGCTAGGAGTCTATATCAGAGTACCAACCCAGATAAGAAGCCTAGAGTGGTGCTCAGGCATGTGAGGGATGGTGATCCTCTGCTGGTGAATCGTCAGCCTACCTTGCATAAGCCAGGCATCATGGCTTTGTTCGTGAAGGTAATGGAGAGTAGTCTCTCGAGCTGCTGACGAGCCTTGGGTGTTTCAGGTGCTCAGTAAAGAGAAGACTATCCGAATGCATTACTCCAACTGTAACACATTCAATGCCGATTTCGATGGTGATGAGATCAACTTGCATTGTCCTCAAGACTCTAATGCCAGAGCTGAAGCCATCTATATAGCCTCTGCCGATCACCAGTATCTGGGGCCTACCTCTGGCAAGCCCCTTCGTGGTCTTATCCAGGATCATGTTGTCTCTGGTGTATTCCTTACTGCAAGGGATCACTTCATGAGGAAGACTGAAGTTCAGAACCTCATCTACACTGCGATGCGAGCCGCTATAGAAGGCGACACGTCGGGTATTGGTAGTGTTAAATCTAGAGGCCAGGTGACCAAGCTCACCACCCCTGCTGGGGTGCCCAAGGACTTCAGAATTGTCATGGAGCCTCCAGTCATCGTGAAACCACAGACATTGTGGACAGGAAAGCAGGTCATCACCATCTTCCTCAAGAGTCTTATCAAGTTCGCTACTCATAGTACGGATAAAGCCGTAGTCAATGGTTTCAATCACCATGCTAAGGCCAAGACCCCTGGCGATCTGTGGGGTGGTGTCAGTGATGGTAACAAGGAGGAGCAGATGGTCACTATCAGAGATACTGAGCTCATAGAGGGTGTCCTGGATAAGGCTTCCTTTGGCGCCACTGCTAATGGTCTTACACATCTCTTCTATGAGCTGTGTGGCCCTAAGGCTGCTGGGCTACTACTCACTGGTAAGCTGGTGGTAGTCTTTGATAAGGGAGTACGCCCTATTGCTCAGGTATGGGTAGGATGCTCACCCTCTACCTCCAGTACCATGGCTTCACTTGTGCTATGAGGGATCTTCTTATCACTCCTGAGGGTGACGAGGCAAGGTTGCAGATGTTAAGGAAGGCTAGGGAAGACTCCTGGAATAAGATCAGAGACTGGGTGAAGGAGAATAGCCCGGAGGAGGCTAATGTCAAGACTCTACATAAACTCCAGAAGGAGATAGGTACTTGATGGAATATTCGAGAGGTTGGGGAGGGAGTGGTATGAATGATCAGGTAAGTTGTATGCTGCAGACCCCAAGGTTCAACATCCCATGTTCGAAGAGCTAGAGGAAACAATGCTGTCTACCAATAGGGATTACTGGGGAAGTAACGAGGCGCTGGTGTACTCACTAGGATGGACGAGATATCACTGTTTTCAGAACTCATCGACATCTTATTCCCTAAGGGCCAGGTGTCTCCATTCCCAGATAACTGCTTCTCGGCTATGGTCAGCACAGGTAACGTCACCTCATAACATGCTTACACTCATATGGATGCTGTGTAGGTGCAAAGGGTTCGAAGGTGAATCACTCAATGATTGACGCCATGTTGGGCCAGCAGGAACTGGAGGGGCATCGTGCTCCTCGTATGAGGAATCAGCGATTCCTTCCCAGTTTTGCCCAGTATGATATCGGCCCGAGGGCTGGTGGTTACATTACCGACAGGTGAGCACGCACAATGCAGATCTGATTGTCTCGTATGCTGTGTCTAGATTCCTGACTGGATATCGACCACAAGAGTTCTTCTACCATTGTATGGCTGGTAGAGAGGGCCTTGTTGATACTGCTGTGAAGACAGCAAGGTGAGCAGCCTGGAAGTTCCTCTCCTTCTTATCCAATGCCTTGGTGTATAGATCTGGATACTTACAGAGATGTTTGGTGAAGAACTTGGAGGGTATTACTATCAACTATGACTACACTGTTCGGGATACTGACTCATCGATCGTCGAGTTCCTTTATGGTGAGGATGGTATGGATGTGACCAAGGTCAGCCATTTGGAACAGTAAGGCCACTCACTGACTTGGGAATACTGGTATTATAATCGCATTATTAGGTTCGATGTGTTGGATGAGAACTCTGCCTTCATGGCCAAGAGTGCTGCTGTCGCTAAGGAGGAGGCTAAGATGGAGAGCAACTTGCCGGCTCTTTATAGGAAGTGGGCGGAGAAGCCTCAGAGTGGTCGAAGGACTAAGGACCTCGTGAAAGGGGTGAGGGATCTATACGTGTATAATGGTCAGATGGTGGCAATCAGGTTAATGCTAGCGATAAGCTACGGGATGAGGAGAAGGAGCATATCGCGTTTGTTGTGAAGGATACTCATACGAACGGAGGCAAGGCTCCTCCTATGAACAGCATGCTACCCCCATGGAGGTACTACTCCTCGACTCATATGAAGAGAGCTATTACCACTATGCGCTGGTGTTGAAGTACCATGTTGTCCGCCTCAAGGTTCACTGGTGCTATGTCCGAGCGTGAGGAGAATGCATTGACGGAGTATCTCTCCCATAGACCGGAGGAGTTGGAGAAGAAGATGCCCACTGAGGAGTTCCGTGATGTTATCATGCATAAATACGCTAGGTGGGTTGAGCAGTGATTCCTCGTGCTTCACTATAGACCTATTTTCAGGACTCTAGCGGATCCTGGTGAAGCTGTTGGTACCTTGGCCGCTCAGGTGAGATTCGTATGTTACTATTAGGCAATGTGGTATTCCTTTGTCAGGGTATGGGAGAGCCCTCTACCCAGATGACCCTGAATACCTTCCATCTTGCTGGTCATGGTGGTGTTAACGTCACATTGGGTATCCCTCGACTGAGGGAGATTGTACAGGTAAGGTATCTCGCCTCGCTGTGGATTACATAGAGTATTGTGCTATTCTCAGACCGCATCTCGACACCTGGAAACCCCTGCTATGGAATTCCCTGTGCTCGGGGGCCTCAAGGTTGCCGAGGAGCTCAAGGTAATGACTGATGGAGTGACGTCAATATCGGCCTCCATTCACCACTCTGTTCAGGGTAAGATGACGCGAGTGTCTCTGAAGGACGTGGTAGTGGCGACTCACGTGTTGGAGTCGGTAACTGCGGCCCAGCCTAGTGGAGAGACCATGCGAACCTACGAGCTTGTGGTAAACACTCTATGCACTGCCATCAAGATGCTGCATGAGCATCTTCTCCTGTGCAGGTTGAACTGGTTGACCCCGTTATGATCCAGAAAGCATATCCTAGCTTGTCACAGACAGCTATTGCTCACTTCCTGGACCATGACTTCCGAGATAAGCTCAACTCAAATCTTAAGAAGTTCATCAAGATATCTGAGAGCACCTCTACGGTGAGGCGTTCCTCTGTGGGCCTTCGTGGATCGACATGGCTCTCTTCAGATCACATCACGCAAGGCCCAGCAAGAGGAGGGAGCAGCTGATGTGTTCAATGAGATTCCCGAGGATGAGAATAATGCTGAGCAGAAGGATCAAGGCGATGAAAGCCAGAATGTCACTCGTACGCTAGCCCAGCGTGCCCGAGCTACTGATGAGGAGAGGGAGGCCGAGCTTGATAGGATGGAGGCTGCTAGCGGTAGGCGTGCAGGGGATGCTCTGTATTATATTGATTGTGGGTGTAGATGCCGATGATGCTGATGAAGGACAGTATGATGACCTTGTTGATGACGCAGCAGCAGCAGTGATGATGATAAGAAGATGATGTAGGAGAGGAGTGGTATGACGTGTTGCAAGTGGTATTATCTCAGGATGAGGCCGAGGAGGACAACGAGACCCCCGCAGCTGAGGAAGGCACTCAAGGGTAAAAAGTCGTATAGTGGTGGTGATGGTGCTGTAAGCGTTGGTATCTTCAGACCTGCTCTCGGAGGGCAGACTACCGCCGAGGAGTATCAGGTCTCCAAGACTAAGAACTCTACTGAAGTCATCTTCAACAAGTCTGGACGTCTATACGGCCCGAAGTAAGTCTCTCGCTTTTGGTATACAGTGAGTGCATCGATGATTATCCTATGTCGTCGTTTAGGTTTGTTCTCCGTTCCCGACCACTTGAGCTCTCCCAGGGCATCTCTCGGAAGATTCTCATCCTGGAGGCTGTCGCAGATCTTTGCTCTGATCTATACATCCAGCAGACCCCTGGCATCACCAGCGTCCATGTGGTGGAGCCCCGTCCTGGTCAGTCTGATAAGGTCACGATTGAGACTGAAGGTGAGCCTCCCTCCCCTCATGGTTAGTAGCTACTTATAACCATCCTCGTAGGTGTTAACCTCGATATTGCATGGGGCCTTGACGGTATCGACCATGACCGCATAGTCACCAATGATATCGGTCTTATCTTGGATCGGTATGGTGTAGAGGTAGCAGCGTTCGGGCAATTATGGTATGGTAAATCGTTGTTCTCCTTGCAGGCAGCACGTGCGGCTATAGTCCAAGAGGTGCTTCGAGTGTTCGGTCACTATGGTATCGGTGTCGACCCCAGGCATTTGATGCTCATCTCTGACTACATGACTCATCATGGAGGGTAGTGATAGTATTCACTTGTGTTTACTAGCAGTAATATTCCTCCCTTCCAGGTTCCGTCCCTTCAGCCGTAGAGGTATGGAGGCTCACGCATCCCCATGGCTGCAGATGACATTCGAGACTAGTGTTAACTTCCTAACTAAGGTAGGGCAGGCTTCACACGTAGTAGGCTATGCGTGAGCTGTCATCATGCTCAGGCCTGTAACAATGCACAGTATGATACCTTGAAGAGTCCAGCTGGGTCCATCATCGTCGGCAAGCAGGCCTGTGTTGGTACGTGAAGAGGTGTAACCGCCGCTCCTACTATTCTGATATGAATAGGTACTGGATGCTTCGATCTACGTATGGAGATGCCCAAGAGTGTACGGGGACTTGCTAAGGATGAGCTGGCTACTCAGGTCAAGAAGCCGAAGAAGGAATTCGTAGGGAGTCTAGCTGTGTTATGGATCACCGCATGCTGTGTTCGATCAGGTCTTCGCGTGATATATATAGGAGGTCGGCCAGTGGTGTTGTGAAGGTCGTTAACGTATTTACCAAGAGAGCTTCGATTGTGCTCTCTACTTCACGTTATATAGGTTTCTATCACTGCTATACTCAATTGTGTAGGGTTTAGTCGCTGAGAAAGGGTATAGTAGGAGATTGGGTGCTGGGCTGAGCAGAAACTGGACAGAGGGGCTATACTTTACAAATGTCAGGGGTCCCACCTCAACAACAACAACAACAACAACTTGCAGTTGGGATGCCCACACCACCCTTCATGGGTATGCCGCAAGGGTCTGGTGGAAAGGTACTATGGGGCTCTCATATGGACCGTAGTCGGTTAAACTCGCCATTGTCTCAGAGTCCTGCTCCGCCCCCAGGGGGCCTTCCCATGCCCCCAATGGGTATGCCAGGAGGGATGATGCCGCCCCCACCAGCAGGTATAGTAACCTCTCGTTTTTCCACCAATCTACGCATTCTAGGACTTCCTAGCTTCCCTGGAGGACCTGGTGGTATGCTACCTATGCCCCCACCAGGTGGGGCGTTCGGCAACATGCCTCCACCTCCTGG